TGTCCCATCTAAGAAATTGTCAAACAGGTTTCTTTACACTGATTAAATTCCACTATAATTAATATACCTCTGTGCCATTTTCAGTAACTAGAATAATAGTTTCTTCCCTTTATTTCCCTTTTTATTTTATTATTAAAATATTCCATCTCTTTTTCTCACCTTTTCAAATTCTCATGTTTTGGAGTGGGGTGGGGGATGGGCTAAGGTAAATATCCCATTATTTTTGCAGAAACAGTAGAATAAAATTCTCATTTCATAAATCTCTACTCATTTTCTCCAAGATTTGTGCCAGTGAGAGCATTTCAGAGGCTTAGTGACATTAAATTTTTTTTTACGAAAAGGGAAACCCGCACCCGTTATCCTTTTGGGTGCGTATAGGGTAAAATCTCACTCCTACGCAATAGCTCCGTAAACCACATAGAAGAGGTAACCCGCACCAGGCTAGCTTGACCCATAAGGCAAACCCCTTGCTTTCGCTGGCAAGGGGTTTCTAACTTGATACCTTCAACATGGAAGTCCCAAACTCAAATCACTGGACCACCCCGAAAGATCAGGCTTAGTGACATAAATGTGGAATAACATACTTGATTCTTCCCATCCGTCCTAGCCTTAGTGGATAGAGTTACCTCGTACACGTGGAATTAGTCGAGATGCGTGAAAACTGACCTAAACACGAGTGTCATCTAAAAAAGATAAAGTTGCTACTACTTTACAGCAGAAACCCAAGTTGTGGAACTAAAAAAGAGGATAAACACTTTTTTAAGAAGTCTATGAATTATAAAACTATACATTTGCATGTGCATATTCTTCATATTGTGATACACAAGAAAACACTCACATTAATTTTGTGTTTGAAGAATGGCCAGTTAGCTTTTCAGTTGGTCCCCTTTAATAAGATCTGGGGACTTTATGCCTAGTTGTTGTTTTCTTTTGTTGTATATTAAGTCTTTGCCCCCACTCCTTGCTCATCACCTCCATTAATATATCCCATCACCAGTCACCACCAATGTTAATGATGTCCTCCATGGAATACTCCTGGAGTGGAGACAGCTTGCCAACCCTGAGAAAATCTTTGTTTTTTCTTGTTTAGTATTATCCAATTTATATTATATATTTTGAGGGGCTTTTGCTCATTTAGCAGTCTTAGGTTGTGTTCGGTATGGAGGAAATTTTTTTTCGAAAAATGCTTTTCCAATTTCTAGGAAAAGCTATTTCCTTAAAAATAAGGTGAACGGTTTAATTTCCCTAGTGGAAGTAAGGAAATACAAGTTTCACGAGTGACATTCTGCATTATTTGTATCCTCCTGGTCATCCAACACCTATTCAACCCCACCCCAATTGTCAACATACCCTATCTCCCTCTCCACCTTTGATCATATTTGTCTAGATTATATAAAACAATAATCTAATGGAATAATCTAATGTTTTGGGATAATATTTCTTGTTTATTTAATGAACACAAAAAAATAAGCAAAAAACTCATGTTTTTCAAAAAAGACATTATCCTTTCGTACCAAACACACCCTTGATCATAAAGTATGTGTCTAGACTACTATTTACCTCTAAATATCTAAATTGATTAAAACTATAACTATATCGGAGCAATATAGGTTGTTTTGGCCTCAAAGCTTTGGTCTAGTAGTAAGGCCACACCTCTTATGATGTGTGGGTTAGACTCACATCACAAGTTAGAATCTGGCAGTTGACAACAATATGACTGGCGGTGGTACTGGAATCGGGTAAATTGGATCGGTAAGTTTCAGAACCGGGACGGAACCGGTATCATGACAACTGGGACTGCACCAGACCGGTAAACCGGTAAATTATTTTGTATTCTGTCCCGATCCGGAAGGGAACCGGTAGTATATGGGACCGGACCTGTAAGCGGGATGGACCGTTATTAAAAGAAAATAAAATTATTTAAACGTAAAGATTTAAATTTTTTAATTGAATATAATTTTTATTATAATAATTAAAAATTTAAATTTCATTTATATTAAAATAATTATTTATTTATTTTTTGATATTATTTGCATTACATTTTTCTTATTATATATAACCTCACCTTTAATATTTTAATATGAATTTCGGTAAAAATATTGTTCAAAAAGGAAAGGATAAAAAAAGTGCATCAGAGCGTGTAAAAAATGTGTAACTTTACATCCTCCGATAATACAAAAACCGGTAGTTAAATTTCAAACTTTAAAAGTTTGAAAATTTAAAATTTTTTAACTTTTAAAGTTTGAAATTTAAATTTTTAATTTTTTAATTATTATAATTAAAAAAATATTCAATTAAAAAAATTAAATCTTCAAGTTTTAAATAATTTTTTTTTTTTAATAACAGTCCGTCCTGGTTACCGGTCCGGTCCGGTCTACTACCGGTTCCCTTCCGGACCGGGACGGAACATGAAATAATTTACCGGTTTACCGGTCCAGTCCCGGTTCTCACAGTTCCGGCTCCGAAACTTATCGGTCCAGTTCACCCGTTTCCGGTACCGCCGTCAGTTATAGACAGGAGGAATTAGTATAGCTTCTGTCCATCCTGTATTACATGTAACTATAAACAAATAGCTTCCTTTTGCTGTCATAACTTAAAGTTCATTGTAGTAAAGTCTTTTTTTTATGCTTAAAGTCAACACTTTCAATTAACTTGCTTCTTTGCTTAGGGACCTTAATCATCTCTACAATGATATTTTTCCAACCTTTTCTCCTAGTATGAAATCAATTTATAAGGCATCCTCGAAGTTTTTCCTTTACTTGGACTTTCGTCCCCTTTCTCTTTGTCCTGGCGCCTTTTTGTATGGAATATTACAGCTCTTAAAATGATTAATCTTCTTAGTCCCTGCTAATACTTCTTACAGATGCACAAACATACTTAATATGCTTAACCTGCTTCAAGTTTAGATACTAAGTAGGCGTTTGGTTGCAGAACTGATTGAAATTCGGAAACATAATCTTTTTGAAGTTGAAATAGTGTTTTTAACTTTCATTTCACTTGAAAAAAAGTTATACTAGTATGAGTGGAAAAAGATTTTTCCCTTGAGAAACTGAGTTGACCTTTATATTTTATGTGCTGGAAGGCACTCATTGGTACCTATATTTATCCCCCATAAAATAAAGCATTCAGCCTGGATTCCACCAACCAAACATAATGTGAAATGTAAAGGAATCATAGATGAACATGTACAATTAACCTTGAGGAAATTAAATATAGAAAGCTAAAGTGAGTCAGAAGGTAACATAATGTATTATCACACATAGTGATGCTCAAGAGTTAGGTTGGCCTACAATTATTGTGTGTTTTAGTGCCCAATAAAGCAAGAAAAACATCTATGGTACATTGTTTGGTTGGTGTATCGATAATCCTTCGAAAGACTTGGATGTTCATCTCTTTGAGTTCCTACAAGATCAAACACCTAGTCCCTCTTGGATATCATAACTAAAGAGTGGGGAAATCTTAAAAACTCTCAGTTTTAGATATCTGTCAATAGAAAGATACAAGAGAGTCGATAACAAGTCTTTTATCTGTCAATATTTATTGCTTTGTATTGAATTTTCTGTGAAGATCATGAAAACATTTCATTGTTTCAGGTATCTACAAATGCCAAAGAAGTTTCAGTCTTGATGCCAGGAAATGACATTCCAACTTTTATAGCTCATCCTGCTCCTGTACCTTGTCAACCGGAACGCAATCCATGGCCTTCCCATCAGCAGAATCCTATACACCCTGTGTCATAAACTCCAACAACTCCTAGCTATTTTTAACTTGATTGTGCAAACATCGCAAGTGCCAGTTTTATGGAATTATGAAAGGGTAACCTGAGCATATATTTTGAGTTTCCCAGTTGGGATTTTGGGTTATGTACATAGAATTTTCTCAGCTGGTTATCTCTCTCTCTTTTTTTTTTGTACCCAAAGCTTTAAGTAAAGAAATAGCTAAAGAGGTTTTAGCTTGTCTATGTTGTCAATATGTTCCATTCTCCAACATTGAAATAATTCAAAATTGGTCTTCCAAGATACATCATGGTATTATAAGCATGTATCCTCTTGAATTCAAACCTAGTCAACTGCTAATTCTCACAAAACCTACTCCAAATTTTCCAATTTCAAAGAAAAAGCTGAGACGAGAGCTATACCTTCTTCAAACTAGAACAATGACTCTTATAAAGTATACTCTCTGTTCACTTATATTTGTGATGTCAATTTGACTTATTTTTAAAGTTAAATTAGATTATATTAATTTGATATTTTAAACAAAAAATACTTTATATATTCAAAAATTATACAAAAAGTACTATCATTGACAATTTTTTTGCATATGGATTGGGCTAACGGGCCAGCATCCAAATTTCATATGAAGTACAAAATGGGGCAAGGACATAAGTAGCCATCCAAAATTATTCATATACGGTTCTTATACAATATATACACACATACTCTATTATACTTGGAGTAAAGGAACGATCGAAAATATCAATCTCAGGGTGTTGAAATTAGTTGATGGGTCAATATTTTCGACAATTATATCTTTTAAAGTGATTGATGAGGGATCTAAAATTAATTTGGTGGAAAAATAAGATTTTAAACTATCGACAATTGTTTAACCCATACATTGCGTGTTACACACTATCGTTTGATATGAAGATTAATCCTCCGTCAATAATAAATTAGTAACCGTCACAAGAAAAATTAAACTACCATTAAATTTTGAATCCTCCTCAAATCAAAACTAAACATCCATTCAAAAACATAGCTGAACTAGGATTTTTAATAATGGGATTTAAAATTTGAGAAGTCAACATACTAACTAGTGGAAGGGTGTTCGACACATAATATTCTTTCTTTGTCTTAATTTATGTGTTATTTTATTTGTTGAATATAAATTTAACAAATCTTTAAAGCTAAATTGGATTAGATCTAACTCAATATTTTATAATTTAAATTTAAATACCAAAAAGTTACTCTATATAGGTTTTAGTTAGTGTCGTATCAATATAATTAAAGGAAATAAAATTAAAATATTTATCAAAATTTCCATAACTAAAATCAATAACATATCCGATAAAATTCTAAAATAAATACATAATAACTACTCAATTTGATCAAATCAAAAGAAAGCAATAATAGACTATACTTGCTATTTTGAGAATTGTCAGAGTTAATGATTATGAAAAGCACAAGCCATCGGGGAGTGACTGGTCCAAAAATGTTGAGGGGCGGTTGGATTCTTGTGTATTCTCTTTCAATTAATTCTCTCCATTCGTTTTTATTTTTGACTTTCAATATAATCAAGAAAAAATTTAAATATTTATTTTTCAAAAGTAAAGACGACCAAGACGCGTAACTACTTGGAGGAAACAATTATGGGACCGGGGAGGAGAAAGAAAACAAAAAAAAAAAGTCCCTAGTACTACCATTTAGTACCAAGGGATTTAAGGGAATCCAAAGTTTAGATTGAAAAGAAAGAAGACTAAGGGTGAGATTGGTAAAGAAAACTATTTAGTAACCTTTTTTCTAGTGTTTGGTAAGTAGAAATATTGTAACTAATAGAGTAGTATTTACATATAATCTTAGTCCATTTAGGATGGAATGTCATTTACGAAACTTACTTGTTATCCTAGTCATTTGAAAACAAAAAGGGCTGGAATTATACTGAATAATTGGTCCCAGTTTGAGCAAAATCCTTACGGAAGTGCAAGCACCAGAGAGTTGTTAATTCAAATCTGAATACCAATACTCCATAGCCATTGTTTTTATGAGCTAGCAACATGAAGTCTACTAGTGTCTTGTTGTTTGTATTCTTGCTGTACTTCAAATGTGATTCTAGGGACATGATAACTTCAAGGAACATATTATCAAACAAAAGGAAAACTCTAGTGTCAGCTGGACAGATATTCGAGCTGGGACTCTTCAACAAACGATCTAAAGATGGAGAAATAAGAAATTATGTTGGCATATGGTACCAGGAGAGTCCAGAAACTATTGTGTGGGTTGCCAATAGGGACAAACCAATTCCCATATCAGGAGAAATTTTGGCTATTGACATTGATGTTGATGGTAATCTCAAAGTGTTGGATTCAACAAGCAACTCTTATTTTTCAACAGGACTTGTTAGTGCATCTTCTTTTAAGCGTACAGCAAAGCTCTATGACTCAGGAAATTTGGTTTTAATTGATGATTTGTCAGGGAAGAGATTGTGGCAAAGTTTTAACAACCCCACTGACACTTTCCTTCCTGGTATGAACATGAACAATGCATTCAAGTTGAGTGCTTGGAGTGATACAAAAAAGGATCCCAGCACTGGAAATTACACGTTTCAGCAAAGTACAGGAAGAAAATTTGAGTACACCATACTATTCCAAGATACAACCCTTCGCTGGAAAGGCTCTGCTCCACCTGCTTATGCCAAACCCTTTAGTTTCAGTGAACTTCCATCCTTGGTGGTGTCAATGTTAAACAATTTCAGTGATAACACTAATACTTTGGCGTCAGACTTTAATTACACTAGGCTCGTAATGAATTCCTCAGGGGAAATACAATTATATGGCTGGTTTAGCGAGAGTCGAGGGTGGTTTCAGATGTGGTCAGAACCACAAGGTCCATGCGAGGTGCAGGACATTTGTGGGAACTTTGGAATTTGCAACAGTGGGCTTATGTCTCGGTGCAAGTGTTTGCCAGGATTTGACCCTATTTCTCCAGATGAATGGACGGTTGGGACTTATACTGATGGTTGTTCAAGAAAGTCAGTTAGTATTTGCAACAAGAAGTCAGAATTCGACACATTCTTAAATTTGCACTTAATGAAATTTGAGGAGCCAGACATGCCGTATGTGGAGGCTAAAAGCGAAGAAGATTGCAGAAAAGGGTGTCTAAGAAACTGTAAGTGCCTAGCATATTCATACTTTGAACAACCTATAGCAGAGAGAGACACTTCTAGCATGGAAACTGTACCTAGTTGCCAGATTTGGACGAAAGATCTCAACAATCTTCAGGAGAACTATACTGGTGGCCACAATCTCTCTGTCCGTGTAACAGTTACTGATATTGGTACTTCCTTTCACAATCTGTCTAACTTTGCAGGCCATACCTTATAAAAATAATATAAGATCAGTATCAATTTTAGACAAGTAGAGATTTTTCTTCATTGGACAAACTATGTAGTCGGGTACATATATTTTTTATCCAAACGGGCCTTCCTATGCCAATTATTCTATAATGTCAAGACATGGATAATTGAGGTTCATGACAAGAATATCCATAAATATCATTTTGCAGGAGCAATAACAAGGAGAAATTGCAAGCCTTGCGGCTCAAACATTATACCTTATCCATTGAGCAGTCAACCAAATTGTGGGGATCCTTTGTATTATAGTTTCTCTTGTGATGATTTAACTGGAGAAGTACATTTCCGGACACTGAAGGGCTCATATCCTGTCATTGACATAAATAAGGAAAACAGAACATTCGTAATACAAGTGCGTGCAGAAAATGCTGGTAATTCATGTGATACCAAAACTCAAATTTTATGGCTCAATCAGTCATTGCCCTTTCATCGTATAGACCGGTGTGATGAAGGAAAATCACAAAACCTCAGTCCTGGTGGATTAAGAAATGGAATACACATCATGTGGAAACCACCACCAGAACCTACATGCAAAACTTCTGCAGATTGTGGGGATTGGCCAACTTCAAGTTGCAACATCAGGGAGGGACAAGGTCAGAGAAGGTGTCTATGTAATAAATACTACAAATGGGATGATTTAGCATTAAATTGTACCAGAGGTATGTTACAAGACTAACTCCAGCTCCTCGTTTTATAATTCATGCTTGACTACAAGTCTATAGAGTCTTTAGTTGTTAGTCTAATCTTTACCTGGTCTTTAGCATGCAGTGACACTATTATTCTTAGTGCCTAGTAGTCAGCAGAAATTTCTCTAGTTTTATGGTTAGTGGGTTGTTACGTTAACAGGAAAGTATGATGCAAGTCTGCAACGTACATGGTCTTGGATGTCTATATAAAGGTCATCATTTACCTTGAATAGATGCCACTGTTAAGTTATTTTCAGTAGCTATGTCTATTTTTAATTCATTAAAAGCTCAACATATTGTTGGCAACAGTCCAAAGATACTCTTAACATTGTGTGATATGTCCACATAGCCAAACCCGCCTGATTTTTCTCGAAAGGTCTCACACCACCACTACACCTTATATGTCTTATTTTTCCTTTTTCAGCTACTAAGGTGAGACTTTGTTCGCACACCCAATCATCTCCACTTCAAACTAAGTTTCACATGAATCATCACCTTATGGGCTCACCCATATCAATATAGTATTTATGGCCACTGAAGCCCACTGACTTATTGTTTGTGTATGCATTTCCACAACTATGGGTAAAGGTAGTAAATCGGCACATAGACATGCAAAGGCATTGAGTCGTGCCCCATGCCACCACTCCACCATATTTATACTCATCTCGCATAACCATTGACTCTATATTAGTTGTTGGCAAGAACAACCCAAAGTTAATCTGAACATCGTGTAGTATTGTCCAAAAGGCCCCACACTATTAAGAGTATCCAACAATTCATGTACCTTTCTTTTCTTCTCTACTTTCACGTGGGACTTTGTTCACACACACTCAATCTCCCTCTCAATTGAGTATTCATGGTTAACTTTGAGATTAATTGTGTATCACTCTCATCAACCGAGTATTCACAGCCACCAAACTACTGGCTTCTTTTGTGTGCACCTTCAAAGCTACAGGTAAAGGTAGAAAATCTCCCTATAGATGGGAAAAGACACTAAGGCGGGTCTAACGCCATCACTCTGCCATCTCCATACTCGTCCAGCCAAGGCATTGTCTTTGATACGAGTTGTTGGGATAAAACAACCCAAACACACGCTTAACATGATGTGATATTGTCCGCTTTGGGCCATGCATGTAGAATTTTTCACAGAAGATCTCACACCATGAATAGTACAATCACACCTTATATGTAGCTTCTTTTCCCTTTCAACCATCAGTGGGGAACTTTGTTTGCATACCTAACAAGGTGTGGATCTCCACCCGCTAATCCTTTTAGTTGTATTCTCCATTTTATTCACCTAAGCAAGTTTCAGTTTCGTTTGGTTCAGAGCATGCAGGACAAAGAGGATGGAGTGGAGAGAAGGCAACATCCTTGAATCTCAAAGTCCTGATTATTTCTGTCAGTCTAGCTGCTGGAACTATAACCATTTGCTATGTAATTTACCATAGAAAAAAGGTGGCAAGAAGGAAAGGTAACAAATAGCACAAGCTTTTATATATATGTATGATATACATTATGAATTTTCTGCTAATTTTGAACTTACTTTATGTAATGAGAAGCCAAGAAAATAAGTTTGGGGAATGGGATAGAGTATTTGTCCGAGTGTGGAGGTTCATCTAAATATTTGGTAACGGAAGATGATAAGAAACGGATAGATCTCCCATTTTTCAACTTGGAAAGCATACTAGTCGCTACTGACAACTTCTCAGACGCAAACAGGCTTGGTCAAGGTGGATTTGGCCCTGTTTACAAGGTGGTGGTTCTCACATGTACATTGTTTATTTGTACCATTTTTATTTTTATCTTGCTAACTACATCTAATATTGTACAGGGTAAGTTCCCTCAAGGACAAGAAATGGCAGTTAAGAGGTTGTCAAGTCATTCTAGTCAAGGTGCTGAAGAATTTAAAAATGAAGTAATGTTAATTGCCAAACTCCAACACAGAAATCTAGTGAGACTTTTGGGCTACTGCATCGAGGAGAACGAAAAGATCTTATTATATGAACATATGCCCAACAAAAGCTTAGACACCCATATATTTAGTGAGTCTACTTACTTTTCTTCTGAGAACTTGGCTCCCCTCCATTATAGAATCTCTCCAGTTGGTTCAGTAAAGCTCTAATTTCATTATACCTGTCAACATAAAGATATAAGGGTCAATAATCATTTAAACAAAACCACCTCTTCACCCTTGTTGAACAAAAACTTTGCTTTGTTGGGGGTCATTATTATATTGGAAACAGAAAACGAGTACCCGAAAACTATTGCTGGGAATTTCCTTTTGGTGTGGAAAGATTTTCTTATCATGGGGAACATTCGTCAATGGTGAAACAATGCAAGAATGTAGTAACAAAAGCTTAAAAATTAGAATGCTTAATTTCTGTTATCCTATATTTAATTGGAGGTATTAGACAGTCCTTGGATTATTTATCCCACAATTTACACCTTAGTGATGATTTAATTGGAGGTATTAGACAGTCCTTGGATTATTTATCCCACAATTTACACCTTAGTGATGGGATAAGTTATCTCATATACTTGGTGGAATAACATGTCAAGGGATAATTAATTACAGGATAACTTGTTCCCAACCAAACGACTTTGAGTTGACTGTACCCGGGTGCTTTATCTGTTTTATCCTGAGAAAAAAATAATCAAAATACCTCGGATACTAGAAGTTATCGAGTTTCTTAGGACACAATGTGAATTCAATTTTGACTTGATGAGCTTCTTCTAGGATAGTTCTCTTGAGACAATTATCAAACATATGGTAGGCAAAAGTATTTGATTTCTAAAAAGCTGCTATATAGTGTACCTTCAATTGTTTTCGGTTTTTGCTAATGCTGTGATTTCTACAAACTTGTTTTGCAAGATCATAGCGTACACCCATTGTTGGATTGGAATATCCGCTTCAAAATTATATTGGGCATTGCTCGTGGACTTCTTTATCTACACCACGACTCCAGATTACGTATCATTCATAGAGATCTAAAAACGAGCAATATTCTATTAGACGAAGAGATGAATGCCAAAATATCAGATTTTGGCTTGGCCAGGAATGTTGAAGGCAGAAATATTGATGCTAAGACGCAAAAGGTCGCCGGAACTTAGTAAGTATATATATACTCTTTCAGTTTAACTTTCTGCATAATATAAAATCGCCAAAAAGCTTATGAAATTACAAGTACAATCACCTGTTTATAGAGAATCAGAAACCCTACGAGCAGCCTTATTTCATGAACTAGCCCCTCTCAAATCTCCGATCAGGAACTCTTCATTGACCGTGTCACCGGAGCTAGATGGATCTTAATTACCGGCATGATATTGTTTCCCTCTAGTATCAAGTAACCATCGTCTACAATTTAATTTTTATTATTTGATTATATTTTAACACGTCCTTCACGTGTTATTATCATGGGTCGAGAAAATTATACGGTGAATAAAGACTAAATGTTAGAGTAGCTATTATGAATATATATTTGATTTTGTATATTCTGTATTCATACGTCTTAGACATTTCTATCTCATATACATGATTGATATGTTATCTAAGATAATTAATTTTAAGATAATTTATTCGTTTAATTGAGATTATATCTTGCCTTGTGATATACAGCGGCTATCTTGCACCAGAATATGCATTGGAAGGACTTTTTTCAATCAAGTCTGATGTTTTTGCTTTTGGTGTGGTTGTACTGGAAATCATTAGTGGAACCAAAAACTTGGATGTTCTTGAAGACTCAAACCTCTTGGGTCATGTAAGTACCAAAATACTTTCTCTATTTTAGAACATGTAGCCTTAAACATACCAATTTATATGAATAATGGGGATCGTTGATGAGTCGAAAATTAAATATAATTACAGGCTTGGAAACTATGGATAGAAAATAAGGCAATGGAGATAATGGATCAAAGTCTAGTGGATACATTCAATGAAATTGAAGTAGTAAAGTGCATAAACATAGCCCTTTTATGTGTGCAAGAAGATCCAGGTGATAGACCAATTATGTCAAATGTGATAATTATGCTTGGAAGTGAAAGCATGGCTCTTCCAAGACCTAATCAACCAGCTTATGTCACAAGGAAAAATTACACAATAGGAGCAAGCACATCTTCTTCCTCTTCTTATAATCATAATAATTATTATTATGATTCATTCACTGGCTCTAAAAATGAGTTGACCATCACTGATATGCAAGGCCGATAGATAATAGTCAATTAATTATTTTCGATATGCATATATAGAATGACACTATTTGTTGTAATTATAAGTAGGCGGATCTAGGTAGAGGAGAGGGAATGCAAGGGCACTCGAACACTCGAGAAGAACTTCATGTGTAAATATCTCGAATATATATATATACAATTTAGAATCACAAGCATATAAATATAGTACTAATAGGATAGGGTTAGCAGTACTACGGTCGACTATTCTCTTGTATGGAACACACCATTGAAGCAGACATGTTGATGTTTATATAGCTCTGTGCTTTTATAGTAATTCTCAGCATTGATTTTCTTTTATCTCTATATATTTATTAAACTTTTGAAATTATTTACTATGGTAATAAAGTAAAAATAATTTATTTGTCTTTTTTCTCATGTTTTATCATGAAAGTTGCAAGTAGAATAAGTACAAATTAAAATCATGGCACAAAATTGACACCCATACTGTATCTCAATTTTAAAACTGCAGGTTGCAACAAAAGACATGAAAATTGAATATTCAAACACAGAAATGGTCCTATATATATAGGGTAAGTCAACTTCATAAGTATGGGCTGAAATATAACATTTGTGTGCCAAAGTATATGGGTAATATATACTGGGGAATCTAAAATATAATATGATGAAATAGCTAACAACAAATTGACAAATTATAGTAACGTTTTTTTCAGGAGCTATATATCCATAAATAAATAGCACCAAAAAAATAAATATGGACCACTGTATATATAGTCCAAGTACTATACAATAACGGCTATGAACGGGATTTTCCCTCTTCGTTTTAAACTTCTAATATATACAGCCAAGAAATAATATTATGTATTTTTGAAGATGTTTATTTTCAAACGGATCATACTAATAGGATGGACCAAACAAAATCTGCATCCAACAAGACTAGCGTGAATCAACAACTTGTTGTTATCTTCTCTATTCAGGTTAGTCAAAAAATATAGAGACAGCAAATATATGAAAAAGACAGAATATTGTAAATCCGAGTTCACAGAAATTACTCTGCTTCCTTAAGAAATTTAATCCTCTCAATGTACTCGAGGTTGTAGATCAATTTCTCCCAAGATAAAACGGATTAACCTGTTAAAGAAGTAGCTTAACTTCATCGAACGCAAAAACAGTAGAAAAATTTCCAGTAAGTGAAAAACGACTAACTTCAGAGAACGCAAGAACAGTAAAAAAAATTCAGTAAGTGAAAAACAAAAAAGACTCCTTTTTATAGTTATTTTCAGCAAGAAACATATTTGTTCAAGCAAATACTTTTCGGAAGGAACAGGTCCCTTCAAATCTTTATTACTGTTTCATGCGAATTTCAAATAAATTTCGTTGCACCAAATCTGAAGCCGAAGCCGAGGCCGAGGTCAAGCAACGACGGCACGAGGGGCACTTTCTTCTTTAACTCTTTAAGAAGTAAAAGAAGTGTTTTCTAATATAATGACAATAATTTCCTTTCTTCTACCAATATAGGAGAAATGACTTTTCAACGACTTTTCATTTTCTCAATAAAATTGGCTCCTTCAACTTTTTTTTTTTTTTTTCATTTACATTTTGCTAGCTAAAACCCAAACACCCTTATTATTCTTCGAGCATTTATTATTCATATGACAAAAATTTCTTGGTAAATATTAGCAATGTATGGTGTAAAGTAGTGAAGGTAGTTATGATAAATATGGTACTTTTAATCTTGTCTTGTGAACCCCATACATACATATATTTTAACCAGTTTAATTGAGATCCATGTATATGTAGAGAGATTTGGTCAAAGTTTCACATTAGCCTAACCAGCTGTGTAGAGCCATAAATGTACAAATCTTATCAAATTAAAATCCCAACAACCTATTTGCTCCATTCCCCTTTAGTACTCTCATGATGATCACATGCATCTTCCTTTGCCCTTTTTTTTTATACACAACTTGTCAAATAACAAGAATCAATTTAGTCCAACAATTTTCTGTCATTTGTCAACTTTCACTATAAAACGGAATATACCCCTCTTCGACTTAACATTTATGTTCTCTGACTTTGAATGTATATAAATAGACATTTAAACTGTATAATTATTACTATTTTTGGTTAGTCTACAATTTTTGAAAATTTTGTGAAAACGGCATCTAGTAATTAGTGGTTTTGAATAGTGTATTTTTGCAGATTAAAGATGAAAATAAAGACAAAAGAATCAAAATAAAGGAAGAGCAGGTAGGTACATGAGAATGTGTGAAGAAAATGAAGAAGCTGCTGACAGCCGCAGCCCATAAAGGCATGTGTATCTTCTTCGATTCAAAGTCTGTTGCCAATTATTGTATCCAAATTTAACCCCCCACAACAGTTGCCACTCTGTTTCTTCTCTTTTTTTTAATCGGACTAAAATATAATCATTAAAGTTTGATTAAATCTGAATTCACGCTAAAAAGTCTCATATTAGAAATAAAGAATTTTTCAATAATGACAACTTATATTCACTCGAAAACTCTAATTAAAAATTTTAAAAAACTACTTATAAATCCACAAGAACCTTCGTTGGTGACGCTTTGTCAACAAAGCCTCCCCACTTATATATCCAAATCGATCTAGTAGCAAACCAATAAAGTAACTAAGCCCGATGCCCAATTTCAAAAGTTGGTTATCTGAATTTTCATTCTACGTATTGTGTGTAAAGTAAATTGTTCTCGTCGAGGATTTTTAATATTAGACATTGTTGAGTGTTATATTTTGAAGGAGACAAGTTAAAAGAGATACTTCTAGATTAATATAAATTATCGTATTATATTTAAATCTCTTTAAAAAAAATAAGATATTTGCACCTTTTTTCTGAGTATCTTTTTATTTTTATTTTATTTCAATCGTAATTTATTATTTTTATGATATATTACATCAATGTGAACACCCCATATGAGTGGTGTTGGGTACAGAGGTGTGAGGTTGGGACTACTGAGTACTAATCCATAATCCAATATTCCAATCCAAGCAAAGTCAGGCTCCAATTCCGACTTCAAATTGAACAATCATTCATTCACATATTTTATTTATTTTTCATTCATTACGTGCAAAATATAAATCTTATTAATTCAAAAGTTTTATAAATCTAAAATTTCATAAACTTATTCATCAGATTTATGTGTTAAATGTCATGTTTAAACAATTTTAATGAATGAAAACTAATTATCTTGATATAAATTTAAATTAATCAAACACGTTAGAATTTATTAAGTAGAGTAAGGTAGATAGATTGCATCATGTTAATGTCAAAATATTATAATATTGTAGCAACTTTTTACCAAAAGATTACATAAATTATTATTATTAATTTAAAGAAAAATGAAACATTCCAATGACACAAGTGGATTTTCAAGTGATTCATTTCCATTTGTCGGTGCCCAAATATTTTCTCCATTTCCATCTCTCTCATCCATTTTCCGGATCCGATCACCCAATTCGGATCTCACCCTTCCCGGTGACTTACCCGTTTTCCTCACCGATGGACTCCTCCCTAAACCCGACCCGTATCCTCCATTCTCCGTCCTCATCGCCGGTGACCTCGATCTCCTACCGGAACATTCCCCATTATCCTTCCTTTGTACCCGAGATTCCCTTCCGGATCCGGATCTCACTCGACCCGGAGACGGATCGGATCTTCTCGCCGGCGAGTTTCCAACACTTCTCTGAAAGGAACCGTTCCGGTACTTCGCCGGTGACCGCTGCCGGACTTCGTTAACGTCATCTTCAACTGCATATCGCTTTTCTGTAACCATTGCTGCCTCACTGAGAGTACTGCTACAGATCTCGGATAATTCTTCGGAAACATCATCTGGGTGGTTGAAATCAGGGGTAATGGGTTTCTTCCTAATGTGATTTTTATGGTATTTTTCTTCCATTGAATTGGAAAATTTCGAGATGGGTGATGATTTTTTGGGACTATTATTTTCATCAGCATAGAGTTTTGATTTCGGAACAGTGGGAGTTTCAGAGAGCACTTCTTTCACTGTTTCTTCCTCACTCTTTTGAGAAGAAGAATTTGATAGAGTTGGAGGTAGTAATTTGCTGTTACCACTGCTAACACAACAACCCATTTTCGACAGCTAAGAAGAAGAAAATTCCTCTAATGGAGTTAACAGCTACTTCATTGTATGACGGTGGTTTTGCGGCGGCGATGCGGTGGAAGACGGCGGCGATAATTTGGAGGGAAGAGCGATTTTGGAAATGGAGAAGTGAGTCAATGAAAGTGAGAATATTCATGTGAAAGGAAGAAATGGTTTCCTTTAATATAGCAGAGGGTGGTGTGGCCCCCAAAAAAACAAATATAATAACTGAATAAAAACTTTGGTCTAAAAATTTTAATATTTTGTTAATGATTAAAAAAAGCTTAATAACTAGTAGGATCCATATGTGATTATTAATTCATGATTTTTTTTCCCCTCAACGTCTACTTTTAAGTTTTTAGGTAGTAGTATATAACATACAAAATATATTAGAATCTTAAATTATAAAAAGTTATCAAATAATGAAAAATACAAATAGGATTGTTTGGTTGATTTTATTAATTTTCACCACCTTTTAAAAAAAATACCATGGTTTAAATAATTTTTTGAAGGTATAAAGTATTTTTTTTGATTTTGAATATTTCTAATATAAATTTTTACTGTGTCACAGGTTATTATTAGGATTGTGCAAAAATCAAACCGATCGATTGAAAAAAGTGCTATTAATGTATTGTTATTGGGTTATTAGGTCAATGATTTTTTTTAATGATTTTATATAAAAAAAAGTATCGAATTATTGATTCGATATCGATTTTTAATATTGAGTAAATCGATAATCATTAAAACTAGTAATTTACTAATACTTTTAATTATACATAATTAAATATTAAGTTTTAGGTATATCTGTTAGCCTTCAATTAACACTTCAGAATGACTTTGAGTTCTTAACTTCACATTATACAAAATTTTAAGAACTTTATTCTTCTTTGTGCTACACTTGTATAGTTTTTTTCATGTTTGTTATTATTATTTTTATTTTTATTTTATGAGCATTTGTAAAGTTACATTATTGTGTTATTGCGTCAAATTTATTATTGAAGTAATATAATCCCTCCATCCCAATTTGTTGGACACTTTTTGGAGTTTGAGAGTCAAACAGATCTAATTTTAATTTGTAAATTTTTCATATATTTTTAATTATTGTCTTATGGTACCTTTTACGTAGTTTACAGATATATAAAATTCATTTCAAAAAATTGAAGATTCCAAACGCAAGTTTTCGTGTCAGACTTAAATTATTTAACTTTCGAAAAATGAAAAGTGTCACATAAGCTAAAGCAAAGTAAATATTTGTTTTATAAGTATTTTATTGATTAAACCGAAAATCGAACCATTAAAAACTAAAACGATAAACTAAAAAATGATACGATATCTTATTAAATTGGCTATATTATTGGTTTAATACTTTAACATATTTAAAAACAAAAAATTAATAAATCAAATCAATACATATAATGTCATGTAAAATTTGAAGTAAGGAATCACTAACCAATTATAACAAAATTATGACCTCTACAAATAGAATAGCTTACAAAAGGCAAAAATAAAATAAAAATAAATAAATAGATAAACCTTGGTTATAGAATATGGCAATTTTTCGTCCCTTCAAGAATATTTGATAATTTTGAGGAATATGACCATTCTTGGGAAGAATTTTCCAGATATCCCCACTTTACCTCCAAAATCCAAAAGATAAATTAAAAAAAAAATCAAAAAAGTAATTTATTTTGTTATATACTCACAAAAATTTAATTAATTGAAATATTTTTATCTAATATGATGCATATGTTAAACATTGTCACACCCCTTTTTTTCTCTTAACATATTTTTTATTTTTTTCATTTTATTTTTTGAAAAGAAAAAAAGAGTTTTTCCAATTAAAGTGACATTTTGAAAAGGGATAATTATTATTTAGAGTCGCCACTTGGAATTGAGTTTTGATGTTCCAAGTCACCTTATTTAAATCCCTAGAAATTCGGGTAAGGAATTCTATTGACCGAGG